TAAAATGTTTATTTTCTGTCTTGAAATGTGTGAGAAACTAGGCATGTAAACGCACGAGCTCATACTGGGACACAGAATAAATAACAGCAACAAAAATATAAAGAAGTCTCTTCTTATCGCTGGCTTAACTAGCATTATATGTATGATATGTAACTAGGGTACAAATATTTTTGACAGGACAGGAAAGCAGGTTATTAGCTTCGATGAGATGATACAAATGATCATTCTAACACATTTAGAGCAGACCCACTCCAAATGATACCCACGGCTTGCAATTATACCACCAGCCGAATGGTTTACATTGAACATCCAGTAAAGAACATACAGTATTTGCCTACAAAACTGAGTCTCCTTTTTGCTCCTGAAATCTAATGCCATTTTAAGAAGAATAAATTGCTAATAATTAAACAAACACCAAAACTAAAACCTTTTACTACTGTAAGGATCAAAATTAGGCACAAAAAAATAGAAGTTTGTGAAGCCTTTTAAAATGGATTTTCTGTTGGAAGCACAATATAAACAATGATTTGCATCAGTGATTATCTTAATTAAACTGCTGTTTACATAAGTAACGCTGATTTACTTTAAATGTTGTTCAGTGTCATTAGACCATTCATTTAATTGTGCAAATTTCCTTTAGCTGAAGTATTCTCCCACCTTCAGCAGGCTGTGAACAGCACCTCTGCTGCAAGAAGTAAATCCACAGCAAATTTAATACTCTACAAGCTTTATACAAGTTTCTTTGTAGAAACTTTAATGGAGCACAGTTCAGCGCCTTACCCCATACCGATATGTGACACGGGTTTCACTCTTCAGTTGGGTGTAGACAAGTCTTCTGGCCATGTTGCCTATTACAGACTTGGATAAAAAACGCACACTGTGATCCTATGAAGGGACAGGTGCCACCCTGCTCTACATGATGCTTTGGATATGTTAAGTAAAAAGAAACTACATTCCCTCCCCCTCTTTTTTCTTTTTTTACATTAGATTTCTCACTTAAGGAGGAAAGCTCCCTCCTGATGATACAGTGACCAGCTGTCTAATCTGGTACTGAAGGTCTTTGCTAGATGATAAATTCAAGTCAAAAGAGCTACCGTTGCTGAAAAAATGTAAGCTGGAAAAAACACCATGATAATTCTGAAATTAGCAGTGACAGATGTTCAGAACAGGAATCCAGATTACGGGCCATCACTATCCCCTGAATTCACTCTGTAGTAATGCTAGAAGAAAGTAAGCTTTGTTTGATAATATTTAGCAGATTTACAGAGGAGTTTAACATTCCATCTTTCCAAGAAAACAGCTCAGCCACAAATGATTGTGTTTGTTCCAGCACATCATCAGCCTGCATGATTGCAATGATCTACTCAGGCCTTAAAATCCATGAGAACAGTACTGCCACACAAACAAAAGCAAAGAGTATCTTTCATATTATTTTATTAAATACTTTAATTTCTTAATTATGAGTTCTAAATTAAGAATCCCTAAGAAAGAGAGGACTAGTCTAGGAACCAAAGCTAGGGCAAAAAAGGCTCTACATTGTGGCGCTGCAAAATTTCATTTAAAAAAAAAAAATCAGAAACCCTCTTTTTATAACCACGCATTTTTAGCTGGATTTTTTTTTTTAAAGAAGAGAAAAAATTAAAACACAAAACATGTAGCGGATTAGCTGCCTTCTCTGATTTCAGAAAGGGCTACCCAGGCTCTACTTGGTTAGGCAGAGCCAGACACTACTCACCCTCTGGGCTACAGAATGGCTTGAAAACAGCCTAACAAAGTAACCTGCAGAGCCGCTTTCAGATTCTCCTCTTGAGGGGCTCCAAGCCGTTGACTTACATCTTCACCCTGCAGAGCAGCACATGGCTCCAAAATCTATTAATAGTTGGAAACTCTGCTGTCGTCAGACTTTGGCTACAATTGCACTAACGTAGAGGATTCGGAAGCAGCAAGGAGGACATTAACCTTTATAGGGATACCTACTGCCTTCAGGACCTTGACGTGTAGAACAGGTCTGCTGTGTAGGAGGTATGCGGGATTTGTCTGGCAGGGAAAAGCAGGCACTGTGCAGTACCCACTGCTCCTCCCTCCCAAAAGCCTCACATGTTCCTGTGTCACTTTTTATTCTGTTTTAATTCCTTATGTTCTTTGCATCACAGAGTAACACAAAGCCTTGCCTCATCTCTACAACAAAAAAGATTTCCTCTTCTGTTGGAAAATGAGATTTTCCTCAACAGTGATTAAAAAAAAAAAAAATCTTTGCATGCATTTAAAGTTTCTGTTTAAACATGTTATACACACAAAATAGTAAGCACATACCTCAGTACTTAAATAGCCAGAACAAATTCTTAAAACTGAGAAAAGGTCAGTCATACTGCGGAACAACAGCTGCTGAGTATATTTAAGTATGTTCATTTGAACTTGTATCACTGTAGATTTTCAATGGCTAATTATTGGCAGTGGCAAGATAATTACTAGTGATCGTTGCATGTAAAGACTGGAATTGTGCTGGAAAAATTAAGAGTTAAGTATGGCATGACAAACTGCCATTCAACTTAACTTTTTTTTCAATGTTATATATCAAAATAATCAAAACTCCATAAAGATGAAGAAATATTAAACTAAAAAAATTTCTGAGCTATTAAATCTTTCCTGATAATGAAGTACTTCAGGATGACTTCTAAAACTCACTTTCATTTAGATGCTTGATTTATTTTAATCTAGGAGATAATTAGAGGAAAATCAAATCCATCCCCACAGCAGAATATTTACCTGAGATGCACCTCAGACTTCTCAGTATTTCCCCTGTGTGTTCAAACTCAGTTATATATATCTCTATCTCGTTAAAACTTTACTTACATTAATGTCCATTACTTAATTAGCATCAAAACTAGAGTCTACAATGTTTGCTGCTAGTTAGCTGTCAGCACATGAATTCTTTCAGATTTATTTTTCCTATTAATAGGTCAAATTTTGCTTTCCTTGCTGCCAGGTGCAATTAGTATTACAATGGATAGGTAAGCTATTGTCCAGCTTCCTATCTCCAGTCAATTATTTAGTTGTTATCTCTGTCCTGCAAACAGAGGAATGATGCCATTTCTCTGCAGTTACTGGTAGGAGTGTTCAGAGAGGGAACGTGGGAGCACACGTGAGAACTGGTTTAAATGCACTGAAATGAGTCAGAGGAAGGACACAAAGCATTGCAAAACCTTTGCTAGTAAAGACAAGGCAAAAGCAACTGGTGCTTAGTTCCTCCCTCAAATGCTTTTACTTTGGTGTAAATCTCCATAGGTGATCAGGATGAGGCCCTTTACTTGATGCTCACAGTAAGATCATGTCTCTCTCAAGAAGTTCCACACGCTATGCCCAGTTCAACAAAAAGTACTTGGAAGTAGAAGCGGTAAATCTCAGGGAGCTGTCACACATGAGTTCCTGGATAGCCACACAAAAAGTTACCTGAATATTGCCCTCTGTGGCAAGAAATCGGATTGACTTATGGTGAAGACACCCAGATATTCATCAACACGATGATTTGTTAACCAGATTATCCTGAACAAAAGCTGCATCACTGATGAATTCTTGCTGTGAAGACCCTGTTTATCTCATCACCGACTAATCCTGTTATATTTAGTATCCAAAATGTATTAAAGAAGAATCCTCAGTTGAATGAGTGTTACACACACACCAGTGATCTCCAGGAATTTATTTGTAATTATCGTTTGCCTTTTTTCCATATGTAATATTAACTACTAATATGTAGTTAATGAATGCCTGACATAACTTCAGCGTAAAAAAAAAAAGACATGATTACATAATTACAGGTTAAAAAATTATCTTTTTTCAGCTCCATGCACTGAAGTAATCTTAAGGGTGAAGGTTAAGTACAGGCAACACGCAGTATAGATTGCTTTGTAAGACATTCTGTATACTGACCATAGCAACCTCTATGTGTGGCACTGCCTCTGAAAAAATAGTTTGATCTTATAATAATATTACAATAATACAGAACTTGTAAGTATTATCAGTCATGTCTTGTTCATGGGACGCTGTCTATAAAAGGACAGCATGTTTGCCCTTGAAATCATTATAGAACATGAATTACATATTTAAGTTTGCCACTAGGTGCCAAGAGAAGAACAAAAATCGATATTCTAGTATGGAGGCAGGCCTATAAGCAAGAATTTCTAGGGACAAAAAAAAAATCTCCCTTTCATGTCTCCAAGGAACTGCTTAAAACAAGGTGTTTAATCAAAAAAGAAGATACTCTCTCAGTCTGATCTCAGCACAAGCATTTCTGTGCAAGCTGCTTCAGGCAGTTCCTCTCATTTCTAGATCATAGATTTAACTATGTTTATTATCAAAGATCAAGAAAGCAATTTCTAAATACAATATTCATACTTTTCAGCTCCAATGGAGCAATTAATTCAGAGTAATTTGTGACTTTCAAGCAAATTAATACACAATTTTACATCTCATGACCGTTTTGAGTAAAAGAAAGGCCTCAAGTAAAAGTACAAATAAATAAACCTGAGTTACTAAATTGTTTGCACCAGTTCTGAATCAAAGGTAGGATATTCCAGAGGAACTGATAAAGCCTGATTTACTATCAGTTTGTGGACCTTTTCAATTCCTTGAGCTACAGCACTTGCACGACTCCTGCCAAACTCCTGCCATTCCTATAAGAAAGTAGCATGTGAAGCGATCAGTGCAGAGCTGTGAGATGCCATTTGGTGGACTTGCTGCTACTAAACAGAAAGTATAATTAATTGGTTTTTTTGCCTGACCTTCCCCTGGCAGATGCACAAATCCAAGTACTCATTTTGTACCATGCCACCAATTAATATCCTACAAGGTTTTTGAGAGAGGTAACACTGTGGATGTAAAAGGAGTCATACAGACAGTCGGGAACTCGTTGTCCTGGATAAACTAGCATAATTGGGAAAAAAACAATTTCACTTTTACAATTATTGCAAGATACTAATGCGAAAAACCAAGGAAAGTCACACTTACTGGGTATCTTTCCTCTTTTTTTTCTGAGGATCCACTAGACGAAGAGTGTCTCTGATAACAGCTACTTTCACTTCTTCGTCAACAGGGCTTGGGACATTTTCAAATACTCCAGGAGAAAGCTTTAGATTACAAAGGGATACAATTTTTCAGTAGAGAACTAAGGATTATTTATTCCACATTTGCTCAAACTTCATGCATGTCATGAACGTTTTAAATACGCAGATTACAAAATATTTTAACTTAAAGAATATACAAATACCTTAACATTTTCAGTATGACATTACAACAATTTTTGGCAAGTTCCTCTAGTAAACTGAAATATTAAAAAAAAAAAAGATTGTTACCAATGTTACCATTTATATTATGTATGCAAATATGGAAAAAATATTAGCAATCCCCTAAACACAATTAATTCAACTGCAGGGGATGATGAATAAATGTATTTATGATAAAGATGACGGAGAGCTTTCACAATTCCAGTAAGTCATATTTCCAGTGTATAAGATTAGCAATGATTTCAAGCAAAAAATTACAGAGAACCTTGGAGGTTTCATATTATCAGACAGATTTCATCTTTCAAACAAGGAAAAAAACCAGAAAACCAAACCTAAACAATTTCATTCCAATATCACTATCATGTTCGGAGGTCTTACCTCTTGCTCATGTTCTATTCTCATGCTCGGGTTTGCATTTACTTCTAGTAACATGGGCTTCAAGTTTTTCATCAGGAGAATGTCAAACCCTAAAATCTGTGCATAACAAGCAATGTGTTACTTCCACTCTACTCACAGTGTTCTAGAGAATGCAATGGTCATCCAAATGTCAACATTCAAGAGGAAGAAACATTTGAGGGACAAAAGAGAAATAGCTGAGAAACATGCTATATTGCTGAATAATTAGCAAAACCACTTGTCTCTGATACTAACGGCTACTTTCACACTACCCCCACCTCTAAATACTGCATCTGTCGACATGGAATCTTAGTACCTATGATAAGTGGGTCTTAAAACTGCCATCATCATAGCTGCATTAGGGAGCTGCAAAGCTTCATAGTGATAACACCTAGAAGATGGTAACTGGAGTGAATACTGCTACTAATGATCGATACCCATTGAAAATTCTCCATATGTGTTTATGGAAAGTAGTAACATAGGTCAGGAGACGGTTTTGTAAGGTCAAATGTGGGTGAGGAGAATCTAAACTCCGAGTTCATGCAATGCATTGCCCAGGTTGCACTATTCAGTGGATGCACTGCATCCAACCAGTGATCCGCAACGGAACTAGAGAAAGCTTTTAGAAAAAGAATTAAATATCCAGGAGATTAACCCATGCAGAGAAATATCTGCATTCCTGGCAGAAATTCCAACCTACCTGGAAGCAAGTTGGCCCAGGCTTTCCTGCTGGTATGTCAGACTGATAGTAAACTTTCAGTTCAGGTGTCAGTGCAATAATTGTTTTAATCACCAGTGAAATTATATCTGACCACAGTTTTTTGACATCAGCTCCTCTGGAAGACAGTCTGCACAGAATGCTTGAAAAAGTCCTCTTGCTGCCAGTGTTTACATTATCAGAATGGATGAAATTCCCGCTATGGATATTTAGCGAATAGTTGGTTAAGTGCATAAAAACCTGGTGCAAATTTTTTAGAGTGGGTTCTTGATAGGGCTCTGTACAAAATCTAGAAAGTCCATCTTTGGCTATATAAATCTCTAAGGGTTCTAAAGATTTCAGTAAGACATAAAGACGAATATCAAATTTCAGTTTGTCAACAAGCAGTGGTTTGCAAATATATTCCTGGACCACAGCTGGCCGGCTCTGGATGCTTCCCGTCAGTCTGATGTCACTTGGGTCTTTAATGAGGTAGATTCCATCCCCCTGGCACCCTCCATCAGGTTTTACAATAAAAGTGGGCTTCCAGGATGGATCACTGTCTTTCATCATGCGAACCTAGAAGGAAAAGGATTACACTGAAAGACACTAATTGGGGCAGAAGAAGGTCTGATACTATGAAAGCCAACAACTTGTGTTCATAAACAAAAATAAAAAGAAAAATAACATGATCACATCACTATAGTCATAAACACCGTGCAAAAAAGGTAGAAGATAAGCCAGTGCTGACAAGCACAAAGACAAACAAAAAAGCATGAGTACGGAGTTACTAGTACACATAAAAGGTCATTTTATTTAACAAGATATTGTACAAATGATTTCAGGAACTTCTTTTTAGTGTTATGCACCAATTTATAGAATGAAATGCTGTATATCTTGTGAGATCCATTTTATTAGTCACTAGTGTATATGAAACTGCAGAGTTAAACTTTCATGCTGCATTTTGAAGAACTACTGAGAAAGATAATCATTAACCTAAGGAAAGACCCCTTATTTATTGAGGTATGAATGCAGACAAACAATATCAAAGAAGGGAAGATAAAATAAAAATTTGGCACTGATAATACCTTTTTCCACCACTGAATATTTATCACAATCAGATATCCAGTGTTAGCAAAACTAGGGAATAAAGCCATGTACAGATATTAAGCAAACACCACAAATTTACTGAACAAAGCATAGAGTTTATGCCTCAGTTGCTATCTACCACCATTCCCCAAAATGAAGGGTTTTCTACATTATAGCAGAATTCCCCTCAGGCCTGACATGCAATTACGACCTTCCCATCCAATGCAAGATAAAGAAAATTCTACCACAATTTCAACAACTCTTCTCAGTGGCTTTGATTTGTATTAGGAAGATCTGGTCGTAACACAATTCACACGCTTTCTTTAGATGTACCTAGTGTGAAGTCAGGAAAGCGAGGAAAGTTGGTGGAGAATCTGATGATGTTTAGTACCAAATCAAAACCTTTGGATGAATCTACAAAGCACTCCATGCCTGGCCTGCGGTCTCCTTAAGCTCACGCAGATGTTCCGTCTGTGTTCAGGCGTGCACCAGTGCTGTGCTGCTCCAGTGTGAAACACAGTGCACTCTAGTGTACGAGCTCGCAAACAGCCAGCCCCACCATCTACACAGCATAATGCACTTTAATATGCAAAAATGCTTAGAAAAGTCACTACACAAGATACATTTTAGTTCTGTCCAAGAAATGCTTCCACTTTGCAAATTTCTTAAAAATTATGTCAACCACTCTTTACTGATAACAAGATAAATTAATAGAATCATTCCAGCAAACATTTTTTTCTGAAATGGGGTCTGGCTCTGCCCCCCTCCCTTTCGATTCAGCTGAGCCCTCTAAGCATCTGTAAAGCCAGGGAAGGGAAAAATGCAGGGATGTGAAGCGATGCTGCGCTCTTTAAGCTTCTGTGGAATTCCTTTACTGAGAGAGTGGTCAAACATTGGAACGAGCTGCCCAGGGAGGTGGTGGAGTCACCGTCACTGGAATTGTTCAAAAAACATGTAGACGTGGCACTTCGGGACATGGTTTAGTGGGCATGGTGGTGTTGGGTTGATGGTTGGACTTGATGATCTTAAAGGTCTTTTCCAACCTTAATGACTCTGTGATTCTAGGAGTCTATGATAACTAAACTTACTATGTATGGTGTGATGGGAGATGACCCACTAGAAAGGAAACAGTAAGTAAGAAATAAAAGCATCAAGTCACAGAAATAGCAAGAAAAAAGGCGGAGGAGGGAGAGGAGTTAGGTCCAGTACCTTTCAGTATCTTTCCGTTGTTTTTAGTGCCTTGCCACGAAAATTCCCTGTTTGTTAAAGTAAACTTTAATACTTTGTAAGAATGTCACTAGAGGACTATATGACCTATATCTGTATTGCTTACAACAGCTTGAACCTCTATACTCGTGTATCCAGTTCTCCTGCTGCTTTGTAAATATCCATGAGTACAGTATAAGCCATTATACCCATATCTTGAGGGTTTTTTCCACACTGTGGCTTAGATTCTTGGGTTCTAAAAGGGACATGGTTTACCACAAATAGAAATTATGATAACAGTAACGGGGTTAAGTACACGTGGTTTGTCAGAACCTAACTGTCCTACAGAATCCCAGATGTGGCCTTAGTAAGATGAGGCACAAAACTGAATTATAGAGAATTATAGGATTATAGAGGTATCTGCATCCTCACATATAAAGTGAGAAGAATAAAAAGGAAAAAAAAAAACCTCCTAAAACTCAGATCTAGATCCAAATGTTTCACATTCAACTCTTGCTCAACCCCACTGTCATTTCTACATACTGACATCAGCAGCTTAATTTCTGGGGCATAAATTGGGCTTGGCTCTATAACAGACAATAGCCTTTTATAGCTTCTTGGAAGCAACAATAAATACCTTTGGAGGTTTTGGTTTTAACAAACTAATGGGAACTACATAAAGAAGTAAAAATAAAGTAATAAATAAATAAAAAAATAAAAAGGAAATGGACATTTTTCTTTCCTAAAGAACCAGCTATCTTACCTCTGAGAAAATTAGATAATCCCACCTGGAACACACTGTTAACAGACCAAAACATAATTATTGCAATAAGGTTGTTTTGGCCTTTGAACACATTAAACTGAGACATTCATTTAGCAGAGAATGTTTGGAAGCTAATGTCATTCCCAACTGGATACAGTGAGTCAGAATTAAACATGGCTCCAATAACTAACTGCTGTATTCAAATTTGTGCTTTTATAAATAGTACATGTTCACTAAAAACTCTCTCTCAAAAAAAAAAAATCAATATAATCAGGGAATCTTTTTACATCAGAGAAGAGAGCAATTATACCATCTGAATTGCCTACAAAGCTCACATCCCCAAAGAAGAAAACATAAACTTTGCAAGCTTCAATGCATTTTATTTGAGGACGAAAACATTGGGAAGGCAGTAACTAGGTCACTGTAAGGGCCTGACACATCTGCTGAATATCAGATCTATCATGTTACATACATATCTTCTACTGCCTAAATAAATTTTAGTTTATTTATTACTTGCATAGCAAAAGTAACTGCAGAGATTTGGATGCCTCCATTAGCAGAAGTGAAATTGAGAAAGAAATGAAGCCAGGAAGGACTTAGAAATACTTTAGATGGATTTTAAAAACTATTCATAAACATGGCATGTTTTACAACACGCAGCAAGCAAAGAATATGAGCATGTTTATGCCAGTGAAATTAGTATGTCTCGGCCTTCAGAAGCATAGGAGGAAAAAAGCAGCTACCTGAGGTACAGGCTACCTGTCTGTCGTCTCTCCAAATCCCATCAGCACCAGTGGTGCTCGCTGCTATCGGAAGCTGTTTGGGAAGTGGAGTGTGAATGGAGTGATCCAGCTGGCACATACCGAGAACAAGAAGAAAACCCAAGGGAGGTAACAGGACAAGGGGTAATGGTTTTAAACTAAAAGAGGGTAGATTCAGACTAGATATAAGGAAGAAATTTTTCACAGCGAGGGTGGTGAAACACTGGCACAGCTTGCCCAGAGAGGCGGTAGATGCCCCATCCCTGGAAAAATTCAAGGTCGGGTTGGACAGGGCTCTGAGCAACCTGCTCTAGTCAAAGATGTCCCTGCTCACTGCAGAGGGGTTGGACTAAATGTCCTTTAAAGGTCCCTTCCAACCCAAACCATGCTATGATTGTGTGATTCTATGATAACTGGCAACTGGTTTGGAGGTCAAGGACTGCGTAAGCAGTTGAAAATGAACTGCCGCATTACCCTCTTGGGAAGCCCTTAGGAAGGCAGCCTCTGTAGCTTCCCCAGCTCTATCGCTGTTCTCTGCATATAGATTAAAATCCCTACAGGTGTAAATACAGGAACACTGCATTCACAAGTATTTAGGAGGAAAGAAATTGTCAGAGCACAAATTGTAATTTATCAAAATGCCACTATAAAATCCAGGTTTCAATGAATAGATGCTGAAGGACTGTAGCTCATGTAACTCCTAACAGCACTGGCACAGGAAGCCCTAATAAAGAATGCAGCTAAAGAAAATGCAGGATACAGGCTAACACGTGTATCATCTACTCATGGGATTCAAAAACATATAGCATTTAAAATCTCTTCTTTTCAAAATGGAGGGATGTCACTGTACAGCTCACTCTTTTCTTGCATTCACACGTTTTGCGGCACTAGACCTGCAGCGGCTATTCTCTCTATTCAGCCAGACACTGCTGAACGGGGTCAGGGATCTGGTTTCACACAGGCCTGCAGCTCGCCAGCAACAGCTGGAGATTGATTTTAAGACACCTGAGGATACAAGCTAACGAAGAAAAAACAGCCAATTGCCACCATCAGCCCTGGCACTGCAGAATGAAAGAGAAAAGATTAGCACCCAGGAAAAGGCTAAGCGCCCGTCAGATCATCACGATTTTCAGACAACACCCTCTGCTGAGACTACATGAGGCTGCCGAGCCACAGGAGAGGCACAGCTCTGCTAGCAGTGACGTTGCCAAGGCCTGAAGGACTTCTGGATCCATCCTATCCAGTTATTTATTTCACTGAGAATCACGCTGCTAAAAGCCTTCCTACCAGCTACAGCACAAATTCAAGATTACTTATTTAGACTGGGATTTTTCTCATGTACAAGTGTCACACTAACTCAATGATAAGATCTTCCTTCAAAATAGGTCATGTTGATGGATAAAACGTCACAATGGAAATCAGGCTTACATAAACAGCGTGTGGATAAATAAGTCCAAGTAGATCAGCAGGCCTAGATGTGCAAAGAAGGAAAGCAGGATTTATGCCCTAGTCTTTTTACCACTAAAGAATAATCTTCCCCTGATGTGACATTACTCTGCATACTAGAGGAGTCTCTCTAGTTCACACGTTAAAGCTAGCATCCCAGAAGATACTTGGTTAATCTTGAACCTTCACAACTAAACATACCCTACTACGACTCCAGTTGTACGTACGAAGTGCCAATCACAGTCTACTAGGGCAGAAAGTAATAAAGAACCTCTGTGAAACCAGCCGGGGCAATCTGCCTCCCATTCCCTGCCTGTTGTTCACGCCTCTGCTACAGCAGCGCCTTTTCGAAACAGATAACGCTTTCTGGGGACTACTGTTAAAGATGCAACAGCAACCTGCTTTTGAAGTCCTGCATTTTAACAATTATTAGTCTCATAGATCTCATATTTAACTCTTTCCATTTAGTTAGAACAGAAATAATTTTCTCCATCGTTTTTGATGGACTGGAAGGCCTGGATATTATTCTACTGGATAGACTACTTGGGCCTTCCAGTCCATCAAAACTTACACATGGCAGATGAGGATAGGATGGTGGGGAAAGAGGGAATAGTAATCAAGAGTCAGTCTGTTTTTCAGCAGATTGACTGTCCTGAAGAAAGAAGATTGTTTCTTGATATTCAAGGAAATTCCTAACAGTTGCCTTCAAATTCTCTACAATCCCCTCAACTATATTCTTTCAAATTCTCATTATAAGCAGGCTTGTCCAGA